AAAWAYWRTTYYTKYYTTYTTWMKTAAGTGGCAATCAAGAGAGAGCATGATGTCCATGAAAACAATTATTGAGAGACCATCACTACCTAGCASCACTGTGTCAAAAGGCAGTCTTGGTTCAGATACCATTGATAAAACAACCTGATTGCAATGAAAGATGAGGCAGCCTTCAGGCCAGAAAATGCAAACTATACACTACTACTCAAAATCTCTACACACATTAGTTTCAGTTGATGAACTATAGATACAGAAGAAAAGTACACTCTCCACAGTCTGMATCTCATCTGTGACACACAAAATGTTAAATACATTTAGCTATACTTACTGATTTACTCAGTGCTGCTCTAATTGAAAACAGGGCTTTAGGATTGAAAATCTCTATCATTACACTTACCAAGCAAACAGAAGGTTCAATAGTGGAAAAACTCAAAGAACTAGAGATTTTTAGGGACAGAAACAAAATAGGAAAAGGAGGAAATAATCTGGTAGTTATCTTTAAAGACACTACTGAAATAAATAAAATTATCTTTTAATGTTTTGAAATTATCTGTCTGCAAAGCAATAYGGGAATGAATCTGAAAGCAGTAAGCCATCTTTTGCCTTATTGCTGACAACAGGAAAAAGTATATACTAATTCTACTCTTTCCATTTTTGAGCATTACTATATCATATTCCTAAGGAAAAAAATTAATTTATTTCCAAATGCAAGTTCTTCCACGTCTGTGTCTTCTGTCATCCTCTCTGTCTAATTTTGAAATGTACCAAGTATTCTACATGAAGGCTATTTGTAAGATTGTGCTGGTTTTAATACTACTACCTTTGCCAATTAAGGTGTTCAGTAGCGTATCTTTTACTTTTGYGCGTACTTGATCACACAAGTATCACTTACGGTAAATATACATGACAATAACTGAAAAATACGTTTTAATCTAGTGAAGGAAATCTATTAATGCCCTTTTCCTGCCTAACTKGCAGCTAATAGCAAACTAATCTCATCGCTCAATTTTCATCAGCAATGAGCAAAACACACCTTTCCTGTGTTAATACCATCAGTCAAATTTTAAACTGGCAACTAATAGTCAAAGAACTGGCCTCTATATTTATGTTGGCAGGTAATCTCAGTAGCAAATAACTCATGAGCAAGAAGCCAAAAGTTTACCACCTCCAACACCTCTGCTAAGAATATCAACAGCAACATGAGTTCAGCTATCTCCTTCCCCCACATCAAAAAGAAAAATTATTTACAGTCCATTAAATACAGCTGTTCTGATTTCTGTAATATTGCAAAAGCAGTAGACAGTATTATTACTATGCTTGCTAGGTCACAAAACTTTTGCTTTAATGGAAGATAATCTCCTGAACAGTATGGACACCACAAAAGAAATCCTCTTAGTATTCTGTACTACAAATGCATTGTTTGACCTTATAGAATATCACCCTTGAAAGGCCATTTTACATGAAAATCATATCGGTTTTCTCTTCAGAACGTCTCTCTATACATTGAAAAAATGTKTAAAGTGCATGTTCCTAATGACTACTGATATATTGTTAAAACTAAAGAACTTGACTTACAGAAGCCATTGGTTTAGGAACTTCTGATTAAAAAATTCCTCTGTGAAAAGCCAAGCTTCTGGAAATGTTGATGTAAAAAAACAACTACACCCATACATTGCAGCTGCAAAAGTTTTCAAGTTTTTAAAGCCTAAATGGAGTATATGAAGAACGTAGACAATCTYGRAATTAAGTGACCTGTAATTCTTGCCTYTCTTCACTGTGTTTGATGAAGACCTGGAATATCTGGAAACAAATAGGTGAATGAAATTATTCCTCCTTTTAAAATTTATTTTATGCACTCAGCTTTATAATAAATACAACTATTTTTTGCCCCGTCTATTCAAAATGAGTAGTAAAAAAGACTTATGTGGCCAATCAAGTAGTATAGTATGTGCATAAAGGAGGCTA